CGTGAGAATGATAAAGAATACGAAGATAAATCTAGGGTGAAATTCTGGAGGGAATTCTTTAAGTGTTCTGCACAGATTTCAGAAACTGTCATGGATAATCGAAATATACTTAAATACCGAAGCGAATAATAAAATTATTGAGGGAAATTCTGAAAATAATTTTCACGCTAAAGGTCAAGAGTTCAAAGCTCAACCCCGGACAACTCACGAATCTATGAAGGTGACTATGATGAGCTGTACAATATGTGTTGTGCCCATCATTGTTTGTTGTGGGCATTCATTTACATTTTTTGCTAAAATTCGGCCAATTGGGATCATATAAAATTTTCAAAATGGCATCCTTGAAATTTTTCTAAAAAATGAAGCACGAAAACGGCATTTCTGAGCGAAATGAAGTCTGAGAAGTTGTAGAGATGAATAATGACATTCTGGGAAAAAAATGTTTTTATTTATTTAAAGTAAAAATTAAAAAAAAAATGTGACAAACTTTTTATATTGAAAAACACGAACACTTGAAAACTGATAAAAATCGTAGAACAAGAATTTTTGGAACAAAGGTTTGAACTTTTTTTTCTGTACGCTTTTTTTTTTTTTGCTTGCACTTAGAAAATGCATCAGGCAAAGACGAAGCTGCAAGCGACAAGGAGAAATTGAAGTAGACGATAAAAGAAAATTTTTTGAGTTTTGTTTTGATTTTTTTCCCTCAAATTTTAATTATTGATTTTTTTTATGTGAAATTAATTAAAACTGATCAAAGACGCTCTTACTAAGTTTGAGAAATTATTGAAAAAATGAATAAATATTTGATTTATTTTGATTTTTAATATACTGGCATATGCGTCTCATTTGCAATTGCGTATTAAGATTTGTCAAATATGCAAGCAACAACCCATATCATATCGAACATCATTTCAGAAAAGTAATCGTTTTTTTGTAATTAAATTAAACATGATGGCGCTTGGGACACTTTTGCGATTAAGTATATAACATACGTCTGTTATGCAAATAGTAGCTCTCATCATCTAGAGTACCTTTTTTCCATATTTGTTTAAATGCCTAAAATCTTCAGTTTTGATTTTTGTCCCGCATTCCCATACATTCAACGCACTCTGCGATGGTCTGAAAAGTGAAACAGTGAGATGTGTGAGATCCAAAGCTTGAAAAAAGTCATCTAAATCCAACCAATAAAAAATCACCTGTCTGAGACTAAGAAATTATTGAAGATTCCCACTGGAATCAGCAAGGATTTTTTTGACGTAGAACTACGTCTGTGATTTCCATATGGGGGGTACACTTTGTTTAATATGTAACGAAATTTTGAAAGATTTTGAATGTTAATAATTCAGCTGCCAGTGGATCAATTTTAATAATTTTATAACCAATCGATCATAAATATTTCTACGCATCGATCGTTGATTTTCAACAAGAAACTATTGAAAAGGTGGTAAATGTCATGCATTGTCCAAAAGCGTCGAAATAACTAACAAATCCACCAAATACGTACATACATTTGCTGCTTCCCCAACACTGTGCGTGTGCGAATAGGGAGGATGTACTTGCGTAAAATTTTGCACACTCATCGCCATATTCAGAACCACACTCCCCCAAAGACCACACAAAATGCTCTACAGAGTTGTAAACTTGTAACCAAACTTGGAAGCAGGGGTGCAAGTGATTTTGATCGATTCTCTGCATCGACTTTCTGTTTCGTTTATAAAACGACGGCAACACATTTGAGACCTCCCTTAGCTCAGTCGGTAAAGGCATAGCTACAAAGCAAGACCATGCTGGAGGTAGCTGGGTTCGATTCCCGGTCCGGTCTAGGAATTTTTTGGGTTGGAAAATTTCTCGACTTCCCTGGACATATAGAGTATGATTGTACTTGCCACACAATTATACTAATGCAAAAAATGGTACAGGCATCGAAAGCTCTCAATTAATAACTGTGGAAGTGCATCTAGAACACTAAGTTGAGAGCACGCAATAAGCTAATATGCCATAAGCAATAAGCTTGAAATGCGAGGAAGAAGAAGAAGAAACACATTCATTGATACGTTTGTTGTTCTGGATGATAGAAGAGCAAAACAGAAATAATGCGAAATAGGTTAGTGAAACCATGGTCATCAAAAGAGGAAATAGATGAAGAGAACTGACTTTCACCCCTCTGCTTCTAAGCCTCTTCATTCGGTCGTCGTCATAGCAATGAAAACAAGCATCGCACCGCATTTGGTTCTTGGGTTACACTAGCTGGTTGCAATTCTGCTGTTCGACATTTTCGAAGGACCACCAAAAAACATGAAATTACATTATTTTCTAGGGATGCCTAAAAGTCCAATTATTCGATTAACAATTAATCGTAAAGATTTTTCCAGCTATTCGATTAAATATTTATCGTATTTTCAATTTCATCCCTTCTTATTTCGACTCGTTTTATTTAGCGCAGTAGAGAAAATGAATACAAGTACTAATTTATCTGAACAGGCATAGAGAAGAACCATGAGGTGAAACAGGATAATAAATTCGCCGAAAAAGTGTTTAGCGTCTTTCTGCTAAAGGCTAAGATTTACCAACTTGTTGAGAGAAGGAGTTTAACGAGAAAAACTAAAAAGGGGAGGAGTTTTAGCTGGGTGGACACTGTGACTTCCAACCTGTCGCAGACACCAGTTCAACCCCTGTCCAGCAGCAGACGGACCGAGACTACGAGTGCCCAATTATTGAACCGAAGAATATGGGATTGTCCGGTCCGATTTGCTGATTCAGCTGCCTGCACGTCATCATCATCTTCCAAAGGCTTAAGCCTGTACTACCATCGACCCTTTTCAGGGCCACCAAGATTTTCCAAAAGAGTAAATTTCTGAACATGTCCCAACTAAAACTCATATCAAAAGGTTCTTTTCAGGACAATCATAGTCATACTAAAGAGTATAAACAGAGAGAATCCTGCTCAAATTCCTATTCCTTCACAACACACAAGCTCTTGCTGCAGATGACAAATAACATTTATTATATAAGACCACGTAGTCCTACGTCACCATTGCGTACAACCCCATAGCGCTGTCCCTTGTAGTTTTTTCTTCATAAGATAAACTGTCAGCTTTAGACAAGTTAGGAAAATTATCACGTTCCTTGATTTGACTATTTTTTAAAACAATACTATTTACTTTTATGACTTATGCTTTGGTATTCCGTACTAAGGAAAAGTTATAAAAGTTAAGGAAGAGCTTGAAGAATTATTGAAGATTCTAATAGATGCATTCGAAGTAGAGAATTTGTTACGGTTCCAATAAAATATACTCAAATACGTGCATTTTATGGACATTCTCTTATAGTTTGATAAAAAGGATATGTGAAATCTTAAATCAAGCTCTGCATGTACAGATTCTAAAATGTAATCGTAAGAATGAACGTCAACCGATTTGGAGAAATCTCGGTCAGCTGAATGAATTTATTTAATTGCTATAAATGCAAGAGACCCAGACAACCATTCTTGTTTTAAGATGCTGACATTCCATTTCACATAAAATACATATGCAGCGAATGTAAGCAATAGATACTTACATTTAATTATCTGTCACTCATTTTGAACGCATTCACTATTGGTAAAGGAGGCAATCAATTTACGAATGTGCCGACATTAACACATTTGGAATATATTTTAACCAAGAAAGACACAACACCAGGCAAAGTCAAATGTCAGTAACCGATAAAAGTAAACACATAAAAAACTGAACAACAACAATAACAGAAAATAAACCAAATCATTCAAAAAAAAATGCATTCCGTCGTAAATAAAGCTTTAATTATCCACCAGAAGAAATAAGAGAGCAGCAAAACAAACGTAACTACACCGAACCGAACAGAGCCGAAACGAGGAGATGCAGTGCTGGGTAAAAGCATATTTTACCCAGAAAAAGAGCGAGAAAAACGACCGACGTTAAAATAAAACACATCAAAATGCAATGGGGTAAAATCCGACAGCCGCTCGTAAAACCGACAAACTAATGAATGAATGAGACAGGATCGGTTGCAGAATCGTAAATCAATTTGCAATGCGCCCTCGCAGGCCCCCAAGCGCGCATGAAAAATGCTTCTCTCTCTCGCGCTCTTTCACACACACACACATCCACCGCATACCACCACAACGGGATGAAAAATTTGGCTACGCAGAAAATCAAAACGAAAAGTAACAAAGTTTGCATTTTTTTTGTTCAACGGCGAGGCGAGAAAATCATAAATCGGAACCGAGTCTTTCGGCACCTCATTTTTTATGAGCTCGCAAATTTTGAGCATCTCCATTCCTCTTATGCACTTTTCGTAACAGGCGCGCGTGCATTCCACCCTCCCCCCTCCTGCCAGCTGTTGACAGGCCACCGTTATTTATGATTAACTGTAGCCAAATGAAGAGATTACACTTTTGGCTTCTTCTTCCTCGTCTGTGGTCTTTTTGCTTTCCATATTCAACTACCTGCAGGAGAGCTGCAAATGCTGGGAATGCTCAATTTGTCGCTGTCGAAGCTGAACGGAAATAAATGATTCTCGTTTCATACGGGATTGCATCGGCGAGTAAGTTGTATGTGTTCACGTTTGTTTGTTTCTTTGTTTGTTTGTGCGTGTATGTGATATCAGGGGCAGTGAAAATGCTGTTTCCAGTAATTTTTTTTTTCACTTTTCTCTCTCCCATTTTGTTGTAATTGTTTGGAGTTCATAAGAATCAATGTTTGAATGAAAATGAATGCGATAAGAGTGAATTTGATCATTTCTTTTGAGGGAGAGTTATACAAAAATAGTAGTGATGAGATGTCAGTTACTAAAACTTTAAATTTGTAAAGAGGAAAAATTAACAAAACCAGGGCTAATCTCTCTTCTTTCGGAAAAGTAAAAAAGTGTGAGTTAGATAACATAAAAAAGAAGGTATAAAAAGATAGTATGCTTTGCTATTTTCTTTTCTTTTTTTTTGGAAAATGTATCTTTCTTAAGAGGAAAAAAACGTAAATCCTTACCCAATGTGTAGTCCCAACTGGAGTCCGTGTCGTTTTTGTAAACATTGAGTTTTTCTGGCTGTTGGTTGTTGATATTGGTTGAGGTGCATGATGACGGGTTGTTGTTGTTGTTGTTGTTGTAGTTGCGGGTTTTATTTATTTGATTTTCGATGAGATTGTAGTTGTTGTTGTTGTTGTTGTTGATGTTCGCGAGAGAGAGGCAGGAATTAGAGCGGGAGATTTTTTTTCATGGCGTGTTGTTGATGATGTGGTTGTTGTCGTGGTGTTGTTAGATTTTTTTTTGTAGTGGGAGAGATATATGGAAGAAAATAAAGAATAGAGACGGACGAAACAATGGAAATTAAGTATCGTTGTTTTGTTTATGTTGCTGTAAATGGGTATTTAGAAAATGGGGCATTTGCTTTTCTAATAAAATTTTCTTTGACTAATACCAAAACATAACAGGACTAAACGGGACTAGAAGAAACATTTAAAAATACTCAATCAAAAAGAAACATTTATTAGAAAAACAAAACCATTTCAAGTTTAATTATTTCTTTCTGTAAAAAATACGTGAATTTGTGAAATAGGAAAACTGAACTGGAATAGAAGAATGGTGGCGGCAACCCGAAAAGAGTAGTGAACCGTTTTCGCGCTTCCGTTGGCGATGTGTTACTTTTGAAATCTACATTGCTTAGTGAGGCCAACATTTCAAACAACATCCCAGGGGAACGGAAAACGATCACCCCCCTGGGCGAAATGTGCGAAATTACCTTGGCATAGTCGATCTTCAGTGTGCAGCAACCGGAGTAGATGTCACAGCCGTTCAATGCATCGCGGGCTCTGGTGGCGGATTCAATGCTGTCAAACGTGCGCACGGCGAACGAAGAATGTTTGGAGTTAAGGAAAACTGATTTTCGATATTTGTTTTTTGTTACATAAATAAAGGAATGCTGCAAAGAAATAAAAGGAATTTGGTACGAATCCCTACGTGCGATCAAGAGAGGAAAACTGCTGAGTTCAAATATCACTATCACAATAAAAAAGATTCAATAAATATACATCGCATTTACAACCCCCTGTTGAAACTCAGTACCTACCAATATTATTAAATTACAAATGTTAAAGAACAAATGTCAATCAATCACTTAGGTCTGCGCCTGTAGACATTTTCAGTCATTTCCAATGTGATTATCTTCATCAGTGTTTTTTACTTTGTCAAAATACCTGGATTTCAGTTTTAATCAAAAGCCACACTCCCCCAAAACAAGAGTCAGGGTTTGAACTTAATTTTTAACTGGATATTAAACTTAAATTGATTTATTTGAGAAGCGTACACGGAAAGTGAGTGTCATCGACAAAATTGGTGTCTTTATAATTATTTATGGTAAATTTACAGGAAGAAGCACTTGTTTTCGATTGCAACATGGGCACTTATGAGATATCTCTGGATATTTGATTATTTGATTTGATTTGGTCGAGGCAGAATGTATGTGTGAGTAAGTGATGACATTGATCATTGTTATGCGCAATTCATTTTAAAAGGTGCGTTTCTTGTTTCACGACATGTAGTTCCAAAGAGTTAAGTTAAATTTTCTTTATTATGGAGGCTTTCAGCCTGAGGCTGGTTCGCCTCCGGAAATAGTTCCAAATAGTCTGAATAAAATATGGCGCTTGGCGCTGGAAGTGGAAGTGAAAAAAGCTTCCGAGTTAGGTTGGAGGATACTTCCGGGAGAAATCATATGATCCTTTCCGGAGAAGCCGGAAAACTTCCGGGAAACCGGTAGAAACTGGGAGTAATCGGAAGATACTTCCGTGAAGGTTTGAAGAAACTTCAGGAAAATATTGGGGGAAAAAATCTGATAAGCTGGAAGAAATTTCCGGCGAAGGATGGAATAATCTTGCAGGTCACATTGGAAGAAACTTCCGGGAGATGGTCTAATTCTTATTAGTAACTATCAAATGAATCACTAGGTCCCCATTTTTCAGTGACGAACCAGCAATTTACTGAAAGTCACTCTAAAACCGATAAAAAAATAACTAGGTCAAAAATGTATCTGGCAACCGGATGAAAATATTTCTTGATTCCCGTAAATTTCCAGGAAGAGCCATCGCATATTTCCCAAAACCCGGATTTTTGTTTCTCCCTCTGTTCGGGTCATACGTGATACGTCCGTGGCCAAGTAGCAATTTGGGTTTTATGCGGGTTCTATAGACCATGACTTGTAGAAATCGCATTAGCATGATGAGCATGATTGACCACCCACGGCTGCTACTCTGATTTAGACTTGTAGAATGCTTAAAAACTTCGATAAAACTTGCAATGTTACTTGGGTGTCCTTTGTTTAGTGCATGTCGTCGTACCTCATTACTATGGCAAAGTAATGAGGTATTCGTTTTCGATACAGTTAAGTCATACATACTAGCTCTTCTCACAAGAAGCCTAATTCAATTGCGATGTTTCGCAATATTTGAAGCGTTCTAGGCCATTTCCAAAGACGCGCCATCTCATCAATCAAAATGAATCCTCATTCAATGGTGATGTTCCGTATCATTCTAAGGGTTCTAGGACCTCTCCAAATGCATCATTTGAAAAATTCTGGGATCTCTTCAAATATACACCTTCTCATTGAATGCTTCTGAAAGGTCTTCTTAGTGAGAAAAACAAGCGATGATACTGCTATTTGACGATGCATCGGAACCCTGGTCCGAACCTTTTCTTGTATCCAATCTCAAAACCGAGTTTCATAACCGTGAACAAGAAGAGCTTCGGGCCAGAATTCGATGTCGATAGTCATAAATGACATGGAAATGGAAACACTAGTGACAAAGTGCCAAAGTGAGGAATCGATTCCCACTGGAACTAATCGCAAACTGGGTGTTGTGTGTTTTCTGTTGTCTTGTGCTAAGTGTTTACTCTGTACAACCTCTGGTTGAAGCCGGTGTCACTTATTTTCTTCTCTCAGTAAGATCTTATAGACTTTAATAATATGGAAATCTTATGAGCATACTCAGGAAGATACTTGACTTCGGAGGCCTTGTGGGTTACTCCATGGCTTAAGATCGCTGAATGTTTCCTTTAAGTCTTCGGAATTTATTCCACAGATCCAGAGGTCTTATGTCACGAGTCTACTGAACATGTCTTAGAAGGCCGCTTTCTATCCTATGGAGTTAGGGTTTACAAAGGTGGCTGTTAGAAAATGTCTAAGATCCAAACAAATTTATAAAAAAATATATATGAGCTATTTTCTACGCATGAGGGGGTCTAAAAATCGGTCAACGAAGTTTATGAACTGACCCTTTAGGCATCCTAAAATGATCAAAGAAAAATATAAGACCTCTAGAATTTACTCATACGATCTTAAATGAAAACCTTCAAGATATTTGAAGTTAATCCATCAGATTCCCGGAATTGATCAATAAGTTAACCCATGAGACCTCTGAAGATGCCTTACAGTCCTCAAAGTCTTTGGATTCAACTTATTAGCACTCTGGAGTTAAACCAAGAGATATCTGGTGTTGACCTGAAAGCATCAAAAAAAGAAAAACTTAACCCGTAAAACGTATAGAGTTAACATTAAGACTTGTTTATTCTCTGATGTTGCAAACCATGAATGACCACGTGTATAGTCTAGAGTATCAATTGAAAATGGCCTGTATGTCAAATGAGCAGCTCAGAGCGTCACGCTAAATGACGAATCGGTCAGACTCGTCCTTCGAATCTTCATAACAAAACTGGATGTCGTACTATAGCAAAACGAAAAAGCGCACGGCGCCTAAACGTTTTCCATTTTCCATCAATGCGTAATACAGCTCGAATAACCCCTTATCCCTAAAGACACCCGTTACCTTAAATTTCGAGTTGAAATATTCAATAGCTTTTATCAGTCATAGAACAGCTCACGAAATAAAGAAGGAGTATACTCCTAGAGAGGGGCTGTCCATATACCACGTCGACAGTTTAGGGGGAGGGGATTGGCACAGTGACATTCATTTTGAATTGTTTACCCTAACTGAACCCGTGAACTAGATGAAAGGTTACCGTCTTGGGTAAAGTTATTCGGATGGACAAGACCTATTATAAGGTTAGCAGTTTTGCTCAGAATTCACTCCCTAGGCAGCGCTAGTGTGACATTCATTTTTAATTGTTTGCCCCCAGAGGGACTAGATAGAAGGTTTCCATCTTGCGTGCTTGCGTGACATTCATTTTGAATTGTTTACCCTAGCTTAACATCTTTACTAGATAGAAGGCTCCCGTCTTCGGCAAAGTTGTTCAGATAGATTAGACCAATTCTATGGTAAAGAATTTAGCTCAGAATTTACTCATCAGTTCGCACTGTTGCGTCACGTAGGTTTCGAGTGTTTTGGTTTCACTTGACAACTTGCCTAGAAAGATGGTTTCTGTTTTCGGCCAAGTTTTTAAGATCATCTAAAATATTTAAAATATGGTATATAGTTTAGAATTCACTCCTCAAAGATCGCTAGAGCGTCACTTTGTTTATATTTTTTTGCTTTAATTGACTTCTTTCTCACTATAGACTTCAAATAAATGCGGTAATTCGCCAGGAAACAGCAAAACAATTAAGAATGAATTTCAAACTAGCGCCGCCTGATTAGTGAATTCTGAACTGAAGTCTTTACCATAAAATACGTCCTGTTCATGAGAGACTCTCTTAGCTCTTAGCAGTCGGTTAAGGCACAGCTATAAAGCAAGATCATGCTAGAAGCGGCTTGGTTCAAATACCGGTCTGGTTGCAAAATTTTTCGACTTCCCTGGGCATAGAGTATGATTGTACTTGACACAAAATATACTAATGTAAATATGGGACAGGCTTAAAAAGTTATCAATAAACAACTGTGGATGCACACTACCGATCATAAGTTTAAGGACACCCACAAAAAAACATGCAAACATGTTTTGTTCAATGATCTCTCATTTTACGTTCAATTTTCAATCTCCAAAGGTTATTTGAATGGTATGAATGGTATAGCATAAGTGTTCTACTACTACTTTTATTTCAAAATTTGGCCAACCCAATTCTGAGAAAATTAGCCACGATTCTTCAGAGTAAATTTGAAAAGAATATTGTAACTTTAAGTGAACTTTTAGCACACAAAATTTGAAAATTATATTGAACAATTTGCCTACGAGGAAAGTTCCATTCAACACGAATATTGGACGTAACATGACAGAGATATGAACATAACAAATTTGTCATGTTTTTTTGGGGGTGTCCTTAAACTTATGATCGGGAGTGTACATCTAGACCAGTTGAGAGTCGGCATAAATTCCAAGCAGTAACGTAATAAAAACCCAAAGTAGAAGGATGTCTTGTTCTTCTGAACAAACTTGCCGAATACGTAAACCTTTTATCAAGGATAAACAATTCAAAATGAATGTCACACTAGCGCTGTCTGGTTAGTAAATTCTGAACTAAACTCTTCATTACAATATAAGTCTTGTTCATCTGAACAACTTTACCAAAGTCAGAAACCTTCTTTCTAGTCCATATGTTAAGTTAGAACAAACAATGCAAATTGAATGTCACACTATTGCCTGATGAGTTCATTCGGAGCTAAACTCTTTGCCATAAAATTGGTCTTGTTCAGCTGAAAAACTTTGCCAAAAACGGGAAGCTTCTATCTAGTCAAGAAAAATTAATGTCACACAAGCGCCACCTGATGTGTGAATTCTGAACTAAACTCATTACCTTTTCTATCTGAATAACTTTACCGAAGACGATAATCTTCTAATTAGTACATATGTTAGGTTAGGACAAACAATTCAAAATTAATGTCACACTAGCGCAGCCTTATGAGAGAATTCTGAACTGAACTCTTTACCATATAATAGATCTTGTTCATCTGCA